TGCCACCTATCAGTGCCAGTCAGTGCGCATCAGTGCCCGTCAGGCAGCACTGATAGGTGGCACTGACTGGCACTGTTAGTGCTGCCTATCAGTGCCACCTAACAGTGCCAGTCATCAGTGCCCCCTGATGGGCACTGATAGGTGGCACTGTCAGTGCTGCCTGTCAGTGCCACCTAACAGTGCCAGTCAGTGCCTCCTATCAGTGCCATATATGAGTGCTGCCTTTCAGTGCACATCAATAATGCCTGTCAATGCCCATCAGTGCCACCTACCAGTGCCTCCTCATCAGTGCCCATCAGTGCAGCCTCATTAGCACACATCAGACAGGTACCCGCTCCCACTTCCACTGTGATCGCCTAGGCAATCAGAAGCGGAAGTTGTCCTCCCTCCCTCCCCAAAGTCTTGTGGGACACGTGACAGGTCCCGGAAGACGACGGGGCAATTCAGGAAGCACAGCGCTACTCGCGCATGCGCAGTGGGTACCCCGGCTGTGAAGCTGCAAGCTGTCACAGCCGGGTCCCCACACTGAAATACAGGAAGGCCAGTGAAACGGGCTGTGGCGGATGCAATGTGGGATCATGGGACAGGTGAGTGGCTGTTTTTTAAACGTCAGCAGCTACAGTTTTTGTAGCTGCTGACTTTTATTTTTTTACAGAATGACTTGAAATCCGCTTTAAGAGTAATCCTGGTGGTGACATCACGCATAGGATTCTATGACCCATCCATTGTTGCAGATCCCTCCTCTCCCCTGCGGCTGCTGATGGCTGTCAGAGGGGAGCAGGATTACGTGAATAGACCGAAGTGTCAGGAAAGTAGTTCGGTATACACATCTTTCTTACACAGGTTGGTCGGCGTGGGTGTTAGGAGGGTTGAGGAGGAAGGAAGGAGCATTTTAAGACTAGCTAGGATTAGCCTAGAATTCTACTACAAACATGGCTGCATTCTTTATGTACTGATTTGCTGAAACATGATCAGTTTTGGTTACGCAATTATGAGCAGGAATGACTAACAAAATATCCACTGAGAACATAAAAAAAAAAAAAAAAGAGTCATCCTGGCGCAGTACAGCCAGTGGTTACCATGGGTGATGGAAGTTTACAGTCAGTTAATGGAGCCTGTCGGTAGCATGTACACTTGTGTTCAAAATAATAGCAGTCAGACATCACTAACCTGATCAATCACTGTTTTTGGTAAAAATGATATTTCTACATGGCAAATAATTTACTAGCAGGTGTAGTAGAGTAATAGAAATCCAACAGACCCAACAGTCATGACATGCATGCTGCTGATTCTGTGTAATTGAATCACTAATTGAAAGGGGCATGTTCAAAATAATAGCAGTGTGGAGTTCTATTAGTGAGGTCATTCATTCTTTGAAGAACAGGTGGCAATTATTGCCCTTATTTAAGGAAGGAAGGCAGCAAATGTTGTACATGCTGGTTACAGTGCATTTCTCTCTGAAATTGTGAGGAAAAATGGGTCGTTCCAGACATTGTTCAGAAGAACAGCGTACCTTGATTAAAAAGTTGATTGGAGAGGGGAAAACATATAAAGAAGTGCAGAAAATGATAGGCTGCTCAGCTAAATGATCGCAAATGCTTTAAAATGGCAACCAAAACCTGAAAGACGTGGAAGAAAGTGAAAAACGACCATTCGAATGGATAGAAGAATAGCCAAAATGGCAAGGACTCAGCCAACAATCAGCTCCAGGAAGATCAAAGAAGGTGTAAAGTTACCTGTGAGTACTGTTACAATTAGAAGACGCCTATGTGAAGCCAAGCTATCTGCAAGAAGCCCCCGCAAAGTCCCACTGTTGAAAAAAAGACGTGCTGAAGAGGTTACAATTTGCCAAAGAGCACATTGACTGGCCTAAAGAGAAATGGCGCAACATTTTGTGGACTGATGAAAGTAAGATTGTTCTTTTTGGGTCTAGTGGCCGGAGACAGTTTGTCAGACGACCCCCAAACACTGAATTCAAGCCACAGTACACTGTGAAGACAATGAAGCATGGTGGTGCAAACATCATGATATGGGGATGTTTCTCATACTACGGTGTTGGGCCTACTTATCGCATACCAGGGATCATGGATCAGTTTGAATACATCAGAATACTTGAAGAGGTCATGCTGCCTTATACTGTAGAGTAAATGCCCTTGAAATGGGTGTTCCAACAAGACAACGACCCCAAACACACCAGTAAACGTACATCATCTTGGTTCCAGACCAACAAGATTGACGTTATGGAGTGGCCAGCCCAATCCCCGGATCTTAATCCAATAGAAAACTTGTGGGGTGACATCAAAAATGCAGTTTCTGAGGCAAAACCAAGAAATAGAGAAGAACTGTGGAATGTAGTCCTATCATCCTGGGCTGGAATACCTGATCACAGGTGCCAGAAGTTGGTTGACTCCATGCAACACAGATGTACAGCAGTTTCTCAGAAACAGTGCGACTACAACCAAATATTCATTAAGTGATTCAAAGGAAAGCAAAATCTTCAAACATTTTTCAGTTTATATAGTGAATGTTTGAGTTTGTAAAGAAGAATACAAACACTGCTATTTTTTTGAACAGTCTAATATTCACTTTTCTTCAATTTTTTTTAGAGGAACAACACAAATTTGATATATTTTTCTTCATGTTTTGATTTGGAATAGAATGTGTAGTGTTCCCAATGCATTTGTGTGTATGGAAATAAAAGCTATTAGAAGGATTTTGAGCTTTATTCACTTTTTCAACACACTGCTATTATATTGAACACAACTGTACCTGTTATAGATGAAACGACCTCTAGCAGTGAGGGAGATGTTGTCGGCACTCTGTCTGTGGTCTGTCTCCCATAGCAAAGAAGAGTGGATCGGCACCGCAGTGGTCCCCAGCCTTTATAGTGGTACATAAGCTCAAGTCAAGTGCATGCGTGGAGCCTGTGCTAGGCGCATGATGGGGCCCATTCTGCTACAGGGAACTGTAGTGGGAAAACGCTGTGCAAGGCTCAGCTTGTCCTTCCTAATTGCAAGTCTATAGTGGGAAGATGTACATGTACATGGGGACCCAAGAGTCAACAGCTATAGTGCAAGTGTACCTCTATCTCTAAGAATGGAGGCCCACCTTAAGGCTGAGTATTACACCACGGAGGCCTTGGCCTTGTCTCTGGGCTGTGGGCAGTATGTACAGGACAGGAGCGCGGAGGGGGTGACAGCGGTCGGTATGTACAGGACAGGAGCGCGGAGGGGCTGACAGCGGTCGGTATGTATAGAAGAGGAGCGCGGAGGGGGTGACAGCGATCGGTATGTACAGGAGAGGAGCGTGGAGGGGGTGACAGCGGTCGGTATGTACAAGAGAGGAGCGCGGAGGGGATGACAGCGATCGGTATGTACAGAAGAGGAGCGCGGAGGGGGTGACAGCGGTCGGTATGTACAGGACAGGAGCGCGGAGGGGCTGACAGCGGTCGGTATGTACAGAAGAGGAGCGCGGAGGGGGTGACAGCGGTCGGTATGTACAGGAGAGGAGCACGGAGGGGCTGACAGCGGTCGGTATGTACAGAAGAGGAGCGCGGAGGGGGTGACAGCGATCGGTATGTACAGGAGAGGAGCGCGGAGGGGCTGACAGCGGTCGGTATGTACAGAAGAGGAGCGCGGAGGGGGTGACAGCGGTCGGTATGTACAGGAGAGGAGCCTGGAGGGGGTGAAAGCGGTCGGTATGTACAGGAGAGGAGCGCGGAGGGGGTGACAGCGATCGGTATGTACAGGAGAGGAGCGCGGAGGGGGTGACAGCGATCGGTATGTACAGGAGAGGAGCGTGGAGGGGGTGACAGCGATCAATATGTATAGGAGAGGAGCGCAGAGGGGGGTGACAGCGATTGGTATGTACAGGGGAAGAGGGACACTGATCAGTATGTACAGGAGAGGAGAGTGGAGGGGGAGACAGCGATCGGTATGTACAGGAGAGGAGCGTGGAGGGGGTGACAGCGGTCGGTATGTACAGGAGAGGAGTGTGGAGGGGGTGACAGCGGTCGGTATGTACAGGAAAGGAGCGCGGAGGGGTGACAGCGGTCGGTATGTACAGGAGAGGAGCGCGGAGGGGGTGACAGCGGTCGGTATGTACAGGAGAGGAGCGCGGAGGGGGTGACAGCTGTCGGTATGTACAGGAGAGGAGCCTGGAGGGGGTGACAGTGACTGGTATGTCCCGGAGAGGAACGCGAAGGGGGTGACAGTGACTGGTATGTACCGGAGAGGAGCGCGAAGGGGGTGACAGCAATCAGTATGTACAGGGGAGGAGAGTGGAGGGGGTGACAGCAGTCGGTATGTACAGGAGAGGAGCACGGAGGGGATGACAGCGGTCCGTATGTACAGGAGAGGAGTGCAAAGGGGATGACAGTGATCGGGTTGTACAAGAGAAGAGTGTCTCAGGTCTGATGTATGTCAGATTTGATCTCTTTCACATCTGTGGTAATGCTTACTGCCCTCTGAAAAGCAATCTGTGATCACTTTTCAGAGGGTGGTATAGCAGCAGCTGAGAAGCATTCAGGCCATTTTTACTGCCCCCCGGCTACCTGTGTGGAAGAGCCATTATAGTGTATGGTCAGCTTTATGTTTTATTAGCTGGTTCCTAGGTTCACACCTAAGCGTTTTCCACAAACGCACTACAGGCCATTTAACATGATCTCCTATGGGACATGTTCACATCTCCACGTTTTCACCTGGTGCATTTTTTTGGGAAAGGGTTGGGGACTTTTTTGAATGCAAAAAGTTGCATTTTTGGTTCTATAGACTTCAACGGAAATACTGCAGAAAAGCATGTAGTGCGTTTTTGATGCGTTTTGCATTTTAAATCTGCCTAACAACAAGAAAAAATAAAAATGAAAAACGCAATGCAGAAATGAGTGCAATGCAAACTGCATAGGTGTGAACCTAGCCATAGGGCTGGTTGGTTAGCTGTGATGCAGTAGACAGGGGGGGGTTAATGGATGGACACACCCTGGGTCACCTGAATTAATAAAG